GACAAGACTGTTGGTGAGTAGCTAGCAAAAGTGGCATCTTCAAATACTCTTTCTTTGAATACTTCTTAAAAGGCATCTGTCAGAGTCAACGAACAATTGTAGTCGAGAAAAGAAACATCTTTCAACTATTGATGACAAACCATGGAAAAAAAATGACGGATAGACAAGGTTGTAATGCACAACAGATATGATTGAATCTCAATTGACATATTCTTCCATAAGTGGCTTCTAGCTTTACAATTCAATAAAGAAATACAAGAAGCTGTGAAAAGTCACATGAAAGACAATCCGATAACCGCTCCCTACAGATACAAACAGGAAATTAATTAGTTCTTAGAACGCAAACTGTGGACAAGGAATCTGGAAAATTGCGACGTGGTTTTCATAACAAAATAAAACAACAATAGGGTACTTGATTTTTTCTTTCGCTGTTCCAAATGTGCAAGCTGCTTTAACTGGTGTAATGGTGTGGAGAATGCTTTAGTAAGTCTTGTGATTTCTTTAAACAAACGAATGCGGTCTCGAATATATTTGGATACGTTGCGGATCAAGGCCACCTTATATTGCTACATGTATATATATATATATATCCAACCTGACGGAGAAGGGTTTTACCAAGACAATAATACAAAAATAATCGACACTTGTTTTATTCAACATTAGAGAAAAGAACATCAATAATCCTCTTTAGCCAGCACAATTGCTAGATACCAGTTTGATTGTACATCTTTGGGATAAACTTGTGCATATGTTATTACCGTAAATTCCTAATGATGTATTTGAGTCAATTGCAAACCGTTCTGCTCAATGAATGGGTTAACGTCAAACAAAACCAGTTATGGCATCTCAGAATTTATGATACGTTTAGTCAAGACTATTATGGACTATTAAAGTCTCCTGTGAGAGTATATGAAAATGTTATGTGTTACGTCACACATATCTGTAATACAAAAAAAAAAAACATTTCCGCAATAAATGACCCAAAAAATAATATTTTACTAATGCATTACTAACCTTTTAAATTAATGAATGAAACATTCTCTTTCTTTTTTCTTTAACAGAAGATCTACTCATATAGATGTGCTCATATTCTAAATATTTAATTTCATTTAGCCCAAATCTTGAGTCCCAAACCCAGGTTGAGCAGCGGTAAGTTTACACTGCAGTGGTTTCCAATGAACACTAGCGTGTCGTGGCAAGTTGTAAGGGGCGTCACGAGTGTTTCGACAAACAAAGAACAATTAATAAAATAAAAAAATTACAAAAAATATTGCATGAGGCAGTAGAGATGTCGCATAACTCAGGGTAAGTAGGTTAGGGTGTTTGTTGTCAGTGAAAAAAATTTGGAAACCGCTGGTTTACGGATTTAACCCAATGGACAGAGTGCATATAGTCAGTTGTGGTTGTGTAGGATTTTCTTTACATTTTCACGTTTGAACCTTTATTGCTAACACGCTCATTTTCTTATTAAAACCTGGTTTTCTTAGCTTAATGGCAAGATACCCTAGTATTCTAAAATAGAACTATTCCTAAGAATGGAGAATGACTTGGACAAAACTGCAGGTGTGTACACAACATCACGTTTATTTAAACTGGAGTTATAGGTTTTATCGTGATAGCGTTCTTTTATTCGACTCTAGAGTTCTCTAGTGGTTGATCCACAACATCTCTGGTTGTATCTCAGGATTGTGAACATATATATCGATAGCGAGGTTCAAAGTCTAAGAACCTTTTTTTTTTTAATTGTTTCAGTATGTGTGTGTGAATTATTCTATCCTATTCAATAGGAAATAATGTCAGCAGCACCCACCACTCATCATCCACACTAAGGGGTTGATTGTTCCTGTTATAACATACCAATGCCCCCAGTTGCACAGCGGCATGTCTGCGGACTTACAACGCTAGAAACCGGGTTTCGATACCCGTGGTGGGCAGAGCACAGATAGCTCAATGTGTAGCTTTGTGCTTAATTGCAAACAAACAAACATACCAATATCTTAAAGCACTGGGAATATTTTGTGATATAGCATGGACTGACACTCCAGGACCCCACCACAGGGTTAACCCGCTGCCAATTCCGTTCCTAATTCAATAGGAACTCGATATTAGATTACCAAATTAAAAGTCAGTGCTAATAAGTGAGATAAATTAATAACTTCTGTAATTAATCTTGAAACAAGGTGTCTATTAACAGATGCGCATCGAAGTAAATGTTTACATCATCGACTTTTGTATACTTAAATAGAATGATATATCCTGTTAGAAAATTCAGAAAATAAATTAGTTATTCGAAGACTTGCTGTTTTCTAACGTCATAAATATTTTATATCTTAAAAGAGAAATGTTCTCAAGATATAAATGTTTTATATAAGTAGCATATTATATAAATATACCATTCGAGAAGATATTATGCTTAAGTTTTGTAGGTTATATTAACAGCATCTTGGCCTACGCAGTAAACGCGAATACCCAGCTTGATGGATTCTTAGAATTATCTTGAGATTTTATACAAACTACTCAAACAATAAAAAGATGGATAATTCTACTTATTTATACAAGCATTTCCATTAACCATTTTCGTGTTATGCAAGACTGATCTAGAAAAGTTCTGAGATGTGAACAGCATCGAAGCAATTGTCCTGTAAATATATATTATACTATGATGTAAACTACTTCACTGATTTTTTGCATCAAAAGTTTCAGATCACATTACATAAAACTACCAGTTATTCACAAGAAATGGTTTGAAAATACGACAATCTCGTTGTGGCAAGATACAGTTCACTCTTTTTATGAGCAACTAGGGATTTTTTATCGATTCTGTCCTCTTATTTGTATAGGCTAATAGCTTTGTTTCCTGACAAATCCTTCCTTGTTCACAAACAGTTAACAGCAGTTAAAGCTTCGGAAGAAGTGGATGAAAGCATCCAAGATGTTTCATTCTATACGCTTAGTTTTATAGAATACATTTACCATTTCCTACTTTAAACTATGTATTTTAGGCGTACCATAGATTACCTCAGTTGTTTTCTCCACCTCTTTATCATAACAATTCGAACAGTTTTTCTCTGATTCATTGTGAAACGGAATCAACTTGATGCAGCTACTTACGTGACTAGAATGGGCTCTATTTATACACCGTCAATGAATGTGAAACATTATGAAAATGTTGAATGTTTACAGTAAATCATATTTCATTAATAATTAGTTGTTTAACAAGTTAACACATAAATATATATGGTAGTATAACCTAGATTAATTTCTGCATTTAAATCCATTTAAACTAATTAGCATGACATCAACATAGCAAATAACATCATACAATACTTCGTGTTCTGTGCCCTAATAAATCAAAACTAACACTCAGTCTCCATAGTATTTGTTTTGTTTGTTTGTTGTTAAGCACAAAGCTACACAATGCGTTATTTGTGCTCTGCCCACCCGATTTGTAGCGTTATAAGCTTTAAGATTTACCGCTGAAACACTAACTCACCTTCCATAACCTAAAGATAATATACAGCGAATGATATATCTCAAATATATATTGTTAAAGTCATTCTAATTTTATAATAATCCAAAACGGAAACTTGTACAAATTGAATAATTTTTTTAATGTGAATTTGAGTAACTTTAGTTCGATGTTTTACGAATAGATTGGATTTCATGACATAAATCATTCTTCCTTTTCTTCTATCTTTGAAGGTAGTATTATTTAGTATTTTGTATAACCATCATATATTTTCAACTTATCAAACTGTTCAGTCCGTTAATGTTTTTCCATATTATTTTTCATGTTATTTGTTAGAAAATATATAAATATATATATACAATATTAACACATAACAACTTTTGACCTGTTGATTTATATTATTACAATGATAAAGATGTACAAATTTAACACTCTTTCACTGAACAATGTTTATTATGAACATAATCTTTTATATTATTGCTTTACGTTAATGCAGTCCAGGAGTTATTTCACATCCCCATCTATATACTTCATTGCCGTATATTATTCTCTATGCACATAAATTATGCTTCTAATCTTGTTTCATATATGCATAAGATTAAATTACTTGCATATCTAAGTTAGTCACCAACTAAAGCTTACATTTCATACGTATATTTAGGGGAAAATTAAATGAAATTAAAATTAGAGACTAACGCACTGAAGTTTGTTACTAAATTGCATTATTAACTTCTAATCAAGCAAGCTACCTACGTAGATCAGAACCGAAAAATATCAATCTTGCAATGAGTATAGTTAATTAAATATACTGTTCTTGCTTAAAATGATTAGAACTGTTTAATTATTTGGGTAGCCTCGCTTTAAGCGATATTTTCAGCCTTAATCCCAAAGCAGTTACAGAAACATTCAGCATATTTCGAAACGTTCAAAAAATTCAGACGATTTTTTTTTTCAAAATCAGCACCTCCCTGTGGGTCAGCGTTAAGTTTATGCTTAAGTATGTGATTCGATTCTCCTCGGTGGACAAAGTGCAGATAGCCCATTAGGTAGGTTTGAACTACGAAAACAAGAACAACAAAATACAGTTAGGATTCCCTTCAAAAGCAAAACTGAAAAAGATTTTCATTATTTGAGAATTGAGCTTTTCTTGTGATAATATTTGGTGTGTTACGTAATAACAAGAACAATGGATAATATCTTTAAAAGTGTTTGGATTTTGTGCGTTATTAATTATGGTATCTTTACGATGTTTTAAGAGTAAACATATTCCAAATGCTAACATTTTTTCTTCTATGAAATATGTAGATTTAAAATAATTAGTCCACACAATTATGCTATAAGCGGAGAATAAAACATGGGGCTAAATATTTTGTGTTCATAATTAATATTCACCGCAATGAAGCAATATAGTTATAACGATGATGTTTTTTTTTGTTTTTTTTTAACAGAATCTGTCGGGTATTTTGTTTCGCTCTTAAAGGGGTTCTTTTCATGTGCAATAATTAAAATATGATATTAATTTCACTTCCAGCTGAAGAACTCTGGAGAGAACCATGTATCGTTAACTCACACAGACTTGGACTCGGAAGGAATCTATCGTTGTGAAATATCTGCTGAAGCTCCTTCTTTCCAAACTGAACGAGCTGAACGAGAACTAAATATTTATGGTAGGATATTTCTTTTGAAATAATAGAACACCCAAATGACAAAATATGTATTTTCTAAATAACTAAAAAATATTAGAAGTTACTTGACACATCATCCTTAAACCACACTTTCCTTCAGATCGTGTTGTACATTACTTACTTCTGACAACACTTTCCTAAAATTGTGCTATACTTGCAATTCGAATTCCCTTTAACGTATTAAGATAGTGCTTATTCCTATCGTAGTACCACACGCATTAAATTTATTTCTATTACTACAATCAACAACATATAGGTTTAGAACGACGTTTGTTTCTTACCGTCGGCATTTTCTTTTCTTCCTTCGCTCTCCCTCCTTCTGTTTATTCAGTCTCTCCTTCACGTTTCCTGGCCTTTTTATTTTCGTTTAACTCTTGGCTATTGTACATTTTTCTCAAACTCATTTTGTACAAGTTTGTTTCTTTCCGACTTTTTACGCCTACTTTGATTATAACGTTTCATAATCACAGAAGGGTCCTGTTGCCGGTGCTCCCTCTAATAGTTTCCTAATCATTTATAGTGCTACATACCATTAATCCCTTAGAGACTGCCCAACTGACGGCTGCTTTCTCCCCTCTTTCAACCCAAACCGAGGTTTCTTACAACTAACTTCATAACAAAGTGAAATGCTCAACACATTGAAATAAAGACAAAATGTTCAGGTGAAATAATTTATTTCTCAAAATATTTTTTTCATACGTGTAAAGGGCGAGAGTGTCTAGAGTTGTTAAATGCCCAGACTCTGCGACTCAGGGGACTCATGGTTTGCCTCCTGTTGTTGTAAACTTGTGTTTGATACTTTGTGACCAGTTGGCGGTGAGCGTTTTTAAGTAGCTGTCTTCTCTCTAGTATATGAATTGAAAATTAAGAACAACTAATGCAGATAGTCCTTGTGGAGCCTAACATGAAAATGCTACATAAATAAACAAAATAAGTTTAAAATATTTCCGCTTACTTCCAAAAAATGTGTATCACGTTTTGTTTTTGTGTCTGCTTTAACTTCCTGAAATTGTCTAACATTATAAAGAAATTGTGCAAAATATAATTACTAATTAAAAAAAAGGTGCAGAATCAATGTTAAAGCATCATATTAAGATTGCACGAGTTTTTGGTTATGTAAAACTGTATTACCATATATAATATTTTATTGAGCGTCGAAACTATATGGAAAGTAAACAAGCAGTCGTTATTTTATTACATTTTTTTAAATTATGACATTAGTATAACCTAATCTTAGTGGAAGTGCTCTCTAGTAGGTACTTGGACGTTTAAAGTTATTTTACACTGACTTAAATAAGCAGAAATCCAAAATGACAATAGAAAATTCGCATTAAATATTAAACAGCTTAACGACTCCAACACCTATGATATAATGTAGTCTAAAATTTAAAATAGTATTTTAAATTACATTTATTACCAACTTCAAACTACTTATTTGTCTTAAACGATTGCAGCGACACTAATAAAGGCCTCTGGGGCCAAACTTCATGAACAAAAAATGTTTTAAGAGCTAACTTAAATTAGATAATAGCCTTGATATCTTGAATTCAAAGTTAATGGATTATTATTTACGTTACCAAAATTTTCAAGCAGGAAATTGTTGTATTATTACAATATTTCAAAATTACCGAGTATGAAGTAAGTGCTATTAAAATGTACAATGTTAAGTTGTATCACTACGTGATATGGTAGTCCCAAATAAAGGGTTATAAATATTACCCATTCTATAACGTGCATTACAAAGTTCAAAGTCATCATGTGGACATTAACGGTGAAATGTATAACTGAATAATTCACTCCATAAGAATTATGATAGATTAAGCACATAAATAGTGTAAAACAAATAACTTATTCCATGAAAACAAAAATACTTAAACCATGAAAATAAGGGGGAATATGATTATACATGCCAGTTCAGACACTGCACGGGAAACTTAAAATAGACTTTAAATATTCATAAGTATAACTCGTAAAAAATGGTCTTCGTGTGACAAGCTCGTGACTGGCCACAAGCTAAGTGTTTGAATAATGTATTAAAAACTGCGTTTTTTAAACCGCTGAAATGTTGATTTTTATTTATTTTTTCTGTTATGCTGCGTTTCAAGTAAGAGATAAAACGAATGAAACTTATATCATATACTGTGGATTAAACATCTTTGAAAACAAAGATGTTCTAGTTCACAGGCTGTTCTCAAAACTACTGTTTCTATTCTCATAACTGTAATTACGCAATGAGAGAAAAAACCACGAGATTAATCTCACACCAGACAAACTTTCCGTAGACATCTAACATACGAGGACGTCGACTTCTTAGACCAGTTTAAGTACATCAAAGGTAATAAAAGTCCGTTACAGCTGTATCGGAAAACGTAACAACTGTGTGTTTGAAGGGAATTATTATGAATTTTGAGATGAGAAGTTTTATGAGAGAATTCGTCATTCTGAAATCTATGTTTATATTTTATTAACGGTTTTGTTTTGTGTTGAAGTTAAGCACAAATCTACACAATGGGCTATCCGTGTGCTGCCCACCACGGGCATAAATCCAGTTTCTAGCGTTGTATGTCCGCAGACATACCACTGTGTCATTGGGGGGCTTTATTAACGGTCTCAGAAGACATGCTCAACTCTGTCGAAACGTTTTTTTCTGGGTAAGAGGGTTCTTTTGTAACCATAATCTTAACTTTGAGGCGGACGGCGTTACTCTGAATTGAATTGGGTTTGGGTTTTAAAGCCTACATCTTCCGCTACGTGGGTTTCTCCTCTTATAGAGAGCGCTGAAATTTCTCTTCTTCGAAATATTGTGTCTTTTAACTCTACTTTGTTTAACAGTCTTTTCCTGAGAAAATTGTGACAGATTTCTCTTGGAATGCTAGGGAATTGACTATACGTGTTTCTTAACAGTATAGACATAGCCAAGATTGGGAAATATTGTGTCTTTTAACTCTACTTTGTTTAACAGTCTTTTCCTGAGAAAATTGTGACAGATTTCTCTTGGAATGCTAGGGAATTTACTATACGTGTTTCTTAACAGTATAGACATAGCCAAGATTGGGAAATATTATCACTATCAACACAATGTCCGAAAGACAAAATAGAAGTAAACTATAATAAGTACATTTATCTTTCATGGAAGAGAAAAAACATATTTAACATACCGGTAACCGAAGTAATCGACGTAAGAATAAGAACAGTTTATGATACCGAAAATGGCAGTTTTAGTTATAAACTAGGTAGTGGTAATGGTTCTTTTCTAACCAAACACAAATATTTTTTAGTTATTTAGTCGTCGCGTAATATACTTTCAAATAACACAGTTTCAGCTTAATGTAAAAATACACAAATATGAAAGAAATGTAAGAAGGCAAGAGAAATTGTTTTCATGAGCAAAAACAATAAAATATTTCACAAAAAAACATATGTTTGGTAGGTAACCCAACAGCTCTCTGAGCACGAAATATTTAAACTGGTTTAGAATTAGTTGTGCAATGAATAAAAGAAATATTTCCCGTGGGCCGCATCCATTCAACTAGACGTCTTGAATTTTAATCGTCTGAGGGTAAAATCATATATGGAACAATGTGAAAAGATATTCTGTTAAAATAAATAGTATTTAATAAACTAGATGTACTTGCGCAGGGATACCCAAAGGTGTCCTGTTTCAATAGTAGATAAAACTAAAATTGTGAAAAACAAATTTTTATTTCTTGCTTTTGAAGTTCATATGTTCTGCTGTGTTGTAGTCTACAGAATGCGTAATTCTTCTCCTGATTCATGGCATGCGCAAGTTTTATTGACGTCACGACAGTACAAATTGCAACGTTAAGCCTCTCTTATATGACATCATTTCAGTGTCTATTGACTAACTGTATAGTGGTGCGAGTGGTTAAAACAGGTGACCCCTTTCCAGCGGCCTTCAGCCCCTTTCAGGGAAAATACTATATTCTGTTATATAAGTACGATATGACAAAGAGATACCGCACCAGCTGTAACGGCAAAATTATGAAATAAGACACACTAGAATTAATAATAAACGAAATACTTTAATAGATCCATAACAAAGATTACAGCATATCAACAGTAAAACGTGAAATAAAAGTGATTACAAAAACAAGGATGAAGTGCTGCAGTTTTCAGAAGCTACAAAAACGACGAAATATTAAGTTATCTCGCCGACGGAAAGACTAGTGAGCTACAGTTAAGAGTAAGTTGACGAGATGCTGCAAATGAGAAGTGGAACAGTGAATATAAACATTTCAAATGGCGAACACCACGTCAAGATAACTCGCTTCACCAGAAGAACAGAATGTTATCCAGTTTAAAATGATCAAACGAGATATCATACATTATAAGGGAAGAGAAGATTACAAAGTGCTCCTCTAATGGTTTTGTGCTTTAGTTGTTATCAGAGGCAACGAAACGATAATAATTACAACTTCAGAAGCTGGCAAAGTAATTATCTTTATTGGTAAAACTCTTTCTGAATCCTTATGTGTATGTTACATACATGTATATTTACAGAGATTACATGATATAAGAAGAAGAAAAAAGATAAGCAAAGAGTTTTGAATTTAGCATATGCAGGAGAGGAGAAAAAAGTTTGCAAAGTCTATATTTAAGAAAATACTCCCTTTTAATTATTTGCTCTACATCTCATCTTCGTTCCACATTAATCATATGGCTGTGTAAGTGTCTCGTTACTTTATCAAAAATATACTATTTCTTTCTTGTGAAGATTGTTTGTTTGTAAACCTAACTTAACGTTTGACATGTACATAAGCTGAGGTTCTTACATATATTAGCGGAAATTCCCGCCCTTCGGGCAGGTATAACTGCTTGTTCCTTCTGAAGGCGGCCCGGCATGGCCAGGTGGTTAAGGCACTCGACTCGCAATCTGAGGGTCGCGGGTTCGAATTTCTGTCACACCAAACATGCTCGCCCTTTCAGTCGTGCGGGCGTTATAATGTGACGGTCAATCCCAC